ATATATATATATATATATATAAACATCCCATTATCCTAATTTATTGAAAATGTGCACAAATTTCATGGAAGTGTCCTTATTTGACCCAAATAAAAAAGGTTGAGCACTTATTTAACCTTTTTATGACCTTTTCCCTAAAGTCAGACCTCTATTTGAACTTTTAGTCAATCCAAAATGACCCGAACCCGATCAACCTGACAGATTAACCCGAAATGACCCAAATTAGAATTAAATTGTATTTAAATTGTAAAACCTGAAAATTGTAAAATAATTAGCAAATATTATATATATTTGATAGTTTTAATCCAATCTTAGTATTTTACCAGATCAAATCTCAATCTCATGATATTTATTGTTAATTTTTTTAGTCATTGATTGAAAGTTGAAACTATACCATTAATATTGATTACAAATAATAAAAATTAGTTTTACTTTGATTATTAGAATTAAATTATATTTTTCTAACTATTTAAATATTTATACTTTAATATAATATAGTTCATATAAAAAATCAATGCCAATTAATATTTCAGTTAATACAATATATTTATTTTTGAATAATATGCAGTGAAAGGAGCTTAGAATATATCTGCCTTGAATCTGAGTCTAAACAAGATGAGTCGCAACAGGCTTTCTAGTCAGAGGTTTCACAATGGTGATGAGCGAAGAAGTTTCAACGTTCAGGTCACACTCACCGATCAAATCCTACTTCAGATTGGAGGGTGCGATTTTTTTTCAGTTTTTGTGGATAATATTAGCAGGAGGATTACGAGGGCAAATCTTTGGAAGGAGTTCAGTGTATTCGGAGTGGTCGTGGATGTTTTTCTCTCAACCAGAAGAAGGAACGATGACGCAACCACCTTCGCTTTCGTTAGATTCAGGTACGAGGCTGGTATGCATAGAGCTTTTATCAAGGGAGATGGCCTGATTTTGGATGGCAGAAGGATTTGAGTTAGAAGAGCGACTCAGGTTCAGAAAGGGAGTAGAGTGCAGGAGACTAAGCGAGTTGTTCCACAGTTCAAAGCTCCAAGGCCGAAGATTGCAGTTTTAGAAACGAGAAAGGACAATCGATCGTTTGCCGGTGTGGTGAATGGTGAACGTGATAAGAGCATTCGGATTTGGGATGGGGATAAAAAGGAAGGGAGGAATGAAATTGGTAGAGACCGAGCCTCAACCAATTTGACAAAGGAGCATAAGGAATGCGCTGTCAGTTTTGTGAAGGAAAGTACAGATATGAAGATGGTAGAGTCAGTGGTGATTGAAGCCGATAATCTTATTCCTGAAAGCGATATGGAATGGATTTCAAGAAGTGCAATTGGGCTTTTGAGAAGCTATATTCATCATAAGTCGGTACAAGATTCCTGTGATCAGGGAGGAATTTCTTGTTATGTGAGGCCTTTAGGGGGTTCTTTAGTCTTACTCACTTTTGAAGATAAAGAAGTTATGGAATTTTATTTAAACAATCATGAGTCATGGTTTCAAGTTTGGTTTTCATCAATTAAACCGTGTGAAGGTTCTATCCGCTGTCAGGATAGATTGGTATGGATTACTCTTGAAGCTGTCCCAATTCAGTTGTGGCATGAATCCTTTTTTTCAAAAATTGGAAATACGTGGGGAAAGTTTATCACAGTCGACGATAGCCCGTATAAGAGATGCCGCTTCGACGTGGCTAGGATACTAGTCTCAATTGGTAGTGGAGTCTCTCTACCATCAAAGGTGGATGTTTTAATCCAAGGAGAAAAGGTGGTCATTCCAATGGTTTTTGAACCAGCAGTGGATTTTGTTAGATTAGACTCTAACTGGAAATTTACCGGTAAAAAGAAACAACTGGTTGATGAGGCCGATGAGGAAGATTCAAATTCTAGCGATGCTCTATCTTCCAGTAAGGGGATTTTCGAGGACTCTTGCATGCAAAGGTCATTTAGTAAACTCGAGGAGGGCGGTGGTAGTAGGTCAAAATTTAATGAAGTGGAGGCTTCATTTATTAATTGGTCTCAACCCCTAGAGAATTATGTTGAAGAAGGACAAAAGCTATTAGGTTGTGAGCAGAGTGGTGGGTTGAATCTAGAAATGAAGGATGGGGAACAAGAGATTAATGGGGAGGATACAATTTTTGATAGGCCAACGGATAATGGGCCTATAATTGTGAGCTCATCCAGTGATGAAAGGATTATGCAAATTGAGGCTAGTAAAGAGAATTTTAATAGGGAGATAGTTTTGTTTAACGGGTCAGTAGCAAGGGTTGGAGGTCCTAAAGACGAAAAGAAGAAAGGTCGTCTTAAGGTGAGAGGAAGGCGTCGCAATAGGAAGAAAACAGCAGAGTTCTGTAATGGAGCAAAGAAGGGTGATGGGTCCATTTCTGACTACTCTCTCTCTGATGAGGATATTCAAAAAATCGCAATGCAACTTTGTTGAAAGAGGCAGAAACCACTTGGGAAATATGCTCTTCCATCGGCTTAGTCTTTAAATATGACAAGGACAGAGTCTGTAAAAAATTTATGGATATGGAGGTCGCCACGTGACTTGCCCCTTTTGGTTTACCTTCCTTTTTTTGTGTTTTGTTGCTCTCATGAAAGTTTTAACATGGAATATTAGAGGTCTCAATTCCAGAGAGAAGCGTGGAGCTGTTAGAAAATTGAGGAATCGTATTAAGCCTTCAATGTTGTTTTTGCAAGAAACTAAAATGGAATCGGCTGATCATAGACTATTTAAATCGTTATGGGGAAAAGATGTATGTAAAGGGGAGTTAGCAAGTTCAATTGGTGCTTCGGGAGGATTGATGTGTCTTTAGGATGAGAATTTCTTTAATTGCCAGCAAGTTGTCTACAATAGAAGATTTATTTTGTTAAAAGGAGTTATTTTGAATGGTAATTTTGAGTGTGTTTTCTGTAACATTTATGCCAGCAATGACGATGCGGAGAGGAAGTTGTTTTGGGAGGAACTTTTGGAACTTAAGATGAATTATAATTTTCCTTGGGTCTTGGGAGGAGAATTTAATGTTACAAGAAGTCCAGAAGAGAAAAGAGGAGCCACCAGAAATGTCAATGCGATGTTGGATTTTTCAGAGTTTATTGATAATGCCGAGTTGGTAGACTTGCCTATGCTCGGTGGAAAGTTTACATGGTCAAGTAAGCGTGATACTCCTTCAATGAGTAGACTTGATCGTGTTCTGTTTGATGTTTGCTTTTTGAATTTATTCTCTTGCTTACATCAGAGGTGCCTGCCAAGGTCTTTATCTGATCATAATCCAGTCATTGTGGAATCTTCAGAAGTCGATTGGGGGCCAAAGCCATTCAAATTTTGTAATCACTGGTTGGACCATTGCAGTTTCAAGGATCTTGTTAACAACTCTTGGCATTCTTTACCCTACGAACTGGAGGCTGGTTCTGCAATTTGGAGCAAGTTGAAAAAATTCAAGCCTATCATTAAACAGTGGCAACAACAGGTTTGCAATATTGATCCTATGGAGATTCAAAAGCTGGAAGAAGAGATTGATGAATTGGAGAAGCTTGATCCTGTAGTTAAAAGAGATCTATCCAGCAAAAGAGCCAATTTGTGGTCTCTTTATAGAGCGGAGGAGAGAGCATGGCATCAAAAATCGAGAGCTAAGTGGATAAAGGAAGGTGATAGGAACACCAAATATTTCCACATGGTGGCTTCAGCTAGGAGGAGTGCCAACTTCATCAACAACATCAATCATAACGGTATGACGTTATCCCATCCTAAAGAGATGAAAAAGGCTGTGGCTGACCGCTTTGAGTCCTTCTATAACTCTAGTACAACTTTAGAGTTGGATGATTTGGATTGTGACTTTAAGAAATTAAATCTGGACCAAGTTGATTTCTTGGAGAGCCCTTTTACCGAAAAAGAAGTTTGGGAGGCTATTGATTCTTGTGATGGCAATAAATCTCCAGGTCCTGATGGCTTTAATTTGAATTTTTTTAAGAGTTACTGGAGAGCAGTAAAAGAGGAAGTGATGATTTTTATGGAGGACTTTCATCGCACAGGATCCTTTGATAGGCGCATTAATTCTTCATTCATCACACTTATTCCAAAATGTAGTGGAGCATCTTCTCTGAAAGATTACAGACCAATTTGCTTAGTGGGAAGCATCTACAAGATTTTGGCAAAGGTCCTTGCTAACCGTATTCGAAGAGTCATTGAGGACGTGGTTAGTCATAATCAATTTGCCTTCATAAAAGGTAGGCAAATTTTGGATGCAGTTCTTATAGCTAATGAGGTGGTAGATTTTCTTAAAGTGGGTAAAGAGAAGGGAGTCCTTTTTAAGATTGATTTTGAGAAAGCTTATAATTCAATGGATTGGAAATTTTTAGATTTGATTATGTATAAGATGTGATTTGGTGAGAAGTGGAGAAATTGGATTAATAGATGTGTGACTACTGCTTCCATCTCAGTGTTGGTAAACGGATCTCCGACAAGACAATTCAAGATGAAAAGAGGCTTGAGACAAGGTTGTCCCCTTTCTCCTTTCTTATTTATATTAGTTGGAGAAGCTCTCAGTGTTTGTTGTAATAAAGCTATCTCCCTCGGTTTGATTGATCCTATAAAAGTTGGAGTAGCTGGATTGTGTGTTTCTCATCTACAATTTGCCGACGACACTCTCTTTTTTTTGTAAGGCTTCTTTTGATAATTTAATTAATATCAAAAGAATTCTGAAGGGTTTTGAAGCTATCTCAGGTTTAAAAATTAATTTTTATAAAAGTGCCTTGACAGCAGTAGGCGTTGAACTAGATCAGATTTCTGAGTGGGCGACTTGCTTGGGGTGTAAAGTGGATAGCTTTCCTTTTAATTATTTGGGACTACCAGTGGGGGGTAATCATCGATCGAAAGCTTTGTGGGCTCCTATTTTTGAAAAATTCAGAAGGAAACTTTCAAATTGGAAAGCGAAACTTATGTCAACTGCAGGTAGACTCACTTTAATTAATTCAGTGCTTGATAGTCTGCCTTTGTATTATATGTCTATCTTTGAATTGCCAAAAGGGGTTTGTGATGAATTGGAGAAAATTTAGAGGCAGTTCTTTTGGGGTGGTTCAGTGGAAAAAAGGAAGCTCCATTTAGTCGACTGGCAAACGCTCACAACTCCCAAAAGTCAAGGTGGGCTCGGAATTTCCAAGCTTGAAGTTAGAAATGGAGCTCTTCTTACCAAATGGATTTGGAGATTTGGCAACGAAAAAGATAGTTACTGGAGATCAGTCGTCGTTGCTCGTCATAATTGGCCAAATGATTGTATTTTTCCCCTACTTGAAACTAGCCGAAAATCCTCTTTGGTTTGGAAAAATATCGCTTCCCCCCTTGAAAGCTCTAACCGATTTCATGATGTTTTGGTTTCTGGCTTTGGTTTGTTGATTGGAAACGGAAAGCGCATCTCCTTTTGGAGGGAGGAATGGATTCCGGGTGTTATTCTTAAGCAAGATTATCCAAGGATTTTTGCCTTGGTTGTTAACAAAACGGGAAAGGTCGAGGAGTTTGGAAATTGGTCTAGAGGGATGTGGAATTGGAACATTGTTTTGAGGAGGTCTGTTTTTGATTGGGAACGGGATCAATGGGACAAATTTCTTACAGTCATCCATGGAACTTTTATTAGTGAGGATGATCCTGACAAGTTAATTTGGAAGAATGCAGCTAGTGGTAATTTCTCCACCGGATCCTTTTATAAATCAATGATGCTTTCATCCTCCTCAGATCCTTTTTGGAAAAGCATTTGGTTAAATCTATCAACCCAAAGGTGGAGGTTTTCTGCTGGCAAATGTTCAAAGATAGAATCGTAGTAAGAGAGACTCTTTATAAACGCAACATGGTTAATATTGATGTTTGTTGCCCATTTTGTAAGCTTGAAGTGGAAACTGTCTTCCATTTGTTCTTCAGTTGTAATCTGTCTTGGTAGGTTTGGTGTTGGTGTTGTTTCACTTGGGGTATATTTTGGTGTTTTCCCGGGGATCCAAAGTTGTTTTTCCAAGCATGGCAGAAGGCTCTCCCTCCCAATAGATGTGAAAAAATTTGGAAAATGCTTTTTTATGTGGTGATTTGGTCAATATGGCTCTTACGTAATGAAGTTGTATTCAACAATAAGGGGTGCGACCGTACAGATTTACTTGAGCTTATAAAAATAAGATTAGCTCGTTGGAGTAAAGCTAAGTGGCCCGGTATGCAGTATACCGTTGATAATTTTGTCAGAGAGCCTCAATTTGTTTCAGCCCCTGTGGCTAAAAAGAAGAGTTGTTTTTCTTCAATGTGGAGTAAGCCTCTTAAAGGGTGCTTAAAATTTAATGTGGATGGGTCAGCCTATGGAAAACCTGGGCCTGCAGGTATCGGGGGTATACTTAGAGATGAGGCAGGTAATTCTCTTGTGGTCTTTTCTAAATCTATTGGTGTTGCAGACTCCAACTATGCTGAATTTGTTGCAATAAGGGAGGCCTTCATCATTTTTAGTGCTTCTAAGTGGTGCGACTCTCACTTTCTCATTGTGGAGAGCGACTCTGAAAATGCAGTGACATGAGAAAAAGATCATTCTAAAGTCCCCTGGAGATTGAGGAATTTCTCTATACATTTGGAGACAATTAAAAAGAATTTAAGCTCATGGTCTGTTGTTAAAATTGCAAGGGAACAAAATGAGGAGGCTGATACTTTGGCCAGAGCTGGCACGACAAGGGTCAATGATCTCGTGACCATTTTAAAGTGATTTTTTTTATGCTCTACTTTTAGAGTTGACCGTAGGTGGTGATTCTTCTTGGAGTGGTGCTTGTTTTTTTATCACTGCTTCTGGTCTTTTTTTTTTTTTCTGGTTTGAGGAGAGAATGTTGGGTGGGGATTTATTGGTGGTCTTCTTTTTGGCTCTTTTTTCTTTTGATTTTGGAAGGCTGGATTTTATTTGGTCTTGTTCTTCTTTGTTCTTGATGACTGGTGGCTTGGATTATTAATAAAAGTTTCTCTACCTTTCAAAAAAAAAATACAATATATTTATAAGTTATATAAATTTGAATACGTAAATAAAATGGATTATAAGTTATAATGTAATTTAGGAAAATGTAAACTAAAAAACTTCTATTTGTCTTTATCCAAATCATTATAAATATAATTAAATAGATTGTAGAAGTTAATACTAATTGTTCCCTCAAAACAAAATAAATAAATATTCAATTCAATACTTCTTTAAATTAATGTTGAATGTTGCTAATGCGTTTTAGATTGTGTTGTTGTGCAAAATAGTCCTCAGTGTGTAATGCAATTCAATCCTCAAAGTCTCACATTTGTTCAAATTAAGGTCTGACAGATTTTAATTTGTTTAATTTAAAAGCTTCCATTTTCATAATTTGTTTTTTTTACAACAAAGAAAGGATCATAATTTGTTTACTTTAATGTTTAATTAGATTTAATAAATAATTCACAATTTATTTTCATTAATTAGTTTAAATTAGTGTTAAAACATATGCATTGCATATTTAATTTATGTTAATTTAAAATTTAAATGTTGCGGTTAATTTAGTTTAAATATTAATTTATATATTAGTCAAGGGTCATTGGATCAAGTTATTATTCAATTTTGATTCTTATATAATATATGTATACTATATATATTTGTACCGATTAATTATGACTTAAATCTCTAAGATTGGAATTATCAGTTATATTAATGTATTTTACTTCGGTCCTTAAACTGAACTTTTGAACCATGAAGGTATAGAACTTAAAAGTTAAAACCTTAGATAAATTGTATAATTAATGTCAAATTTAATGAATGATATGAAAAGACTAATTGTGTTTTATATAGTAAAAATTTAATACAATATTATCGAAAAAATGTCACAAAAAAAAAGTTGAAAGATTAATATAAAATAAAAATTATTTTTGTAGACAATACCGACCTTCTTAAATCAAAATAATGAATTTTTTATAACTATTTTTATCAAAAATGTTATAACTACAATTGAAAAAGAATATATATACTATATATTATTTGAATACCCTCTGGAAATTACTAATAGCCCCAATCAACTTTTAACGTGGGAGAACCTTTTTCCTCTTGTTTTGGTCTTTTCTCACTCTGAAAATTACCAATAGCTCCCATCAACTTTTCACGTGAGAGAACTTTTTCGCCCCATTTTGGTCTTTTCTCAATTTAGTTAATTACTTAATAGTCCTTTGGATCTTAATACTATTGGGTTGATGTGTTTGGTTTTTAATGTAAATTCTATCTTATTTTGCATTAACATGACATTAATTGTGTTTATATTGTCTTTTGTTGTTTAATTAATGTTGAATTAATTAGATGTGATCATGTGAATGAGGTTTTGTCTTTTCTCACATGGATGATTACTTAAATATCCTTCTGAACTTAACAATTTTGCTTGAAATGCATTGTCTTTATACGGCATTTTATCATAGGGGTGTAATCAGTGCTGTTTCCATTATATATATAATATATATATATATATATATACTATATATTATTTTCAGTGACCGTGGAAATTACTTAAAGGCCAAATTGAGGATTAATGTGGTGCCTCCTTTTGGCTTTTTTTGGTCTTTTCTCACTTTTCGGATGACTAAAAAGGTCTTCGATGAATTCCTTCCATTGCTTTTCCTGCTGCCTTTTTTTGTAATTTACTATATTTATATTTATGATTAAGTGTGTTTTAATTATATATTAATTGTGTGTGGATATTAGGATTTACCGGTTCAACTCTTCTGCCGAAATTCCAAAGGATTGGTGCTATAAATGTATAATGACATTCATGGGTAAACTATTAACATTCCAATTTTTTTTTCCTTTCGTCTTCATTTCTATTTGGGTGGGTTTCTTCTTCCCTAACATTTCTCTGAATTGGTTTCACATGGACTCCGTTTTTGTTTCCTAAAATTTCTAAGTGGACGTTGATAAGATCCTTCCATTTAATTTAGCAGCGCCTTAGTAATCTTATATATTTATATATATAAATATTTCGGTAATCTTATATATTTATATATATAACATATAATATTTATATGTCCTAAAATACATACAGTACAAGAAATTATTAATCTTACAATTATGATTGTTGTATATTAGAGTCATATACTTGTTATATATTTCTTAATAATACTTTGAGAAATTGTGTTAAGTTTATTATAGGCTTGTGAAAATATGTTTCAAACATGTTAATTGTCTCCAAAGGATTTTAGTTGATTGAAATTGAAGTTCAACAGGTTAGAACATCTGTAAAGATTGTTTAAGCTTTCAGACTTGTTTCAATCAACTGAAGTTGGATTTCAATTTGTTGAAGTTTTCTGGAAAATTCCAGATTTGATGAATAACAAATTGAACTTCAGAAATAACATGTTGAAATCTTAGTAGATTCAAAATGTGCAGAAACGTGAAAATGTGCCTTTTTATGAGAGATTGCATCTATAATTGAAGACATGTCTATTCGTTTAGAGGGTGTTTAATACACCTCTTTAACACATCTCTTGAGGCTTATAAATACACTTTACTTCATTGGAATCATAAACAACAAAAAATCAGAATTCTTTTGACTTCTCACAAGCTTTATTCTTCCTCATTGTTTCTAGATCGGGTTTAAGTGTGTTCAAGAGAAGTTTAGAAGTGCAATCTTTATTTCTCTATTCAACTAGGCATTGTATCCTGGAGATAACGTTTCTAAGAGTCCATTTGCACCATAGTGGGAAAACTATTATCCTTAAGAAAGCTTCCTGGCAGTGCCTTGCCTATTTCTTTTATTTTCCCTCTTCTCCACATCATTTTCGTTTGGTTGAATCAGTTATTCTCATATAAAACAATTTAAGGATAATAGTTCTTGTCCAACGACGTCTGTTGCAATCAAGCCTCACACCTTTGAAGTGGAGAAACTTGAAAAACCGAATGGCACAAACTACAAATGTTGGAGCATGAAGATTTACTACCAAATCTCCTTGTTGAAAGTTGCATATGTCCTACATGAGTTCTATCCTCAAGGTGAAAGTCAATATGGAAACGTGGCTGAAGCATTGACAGAAAATCAAAAGAAGTGGCTCAATGATGACTATATTTGTGGCCTCACCATCCTTCAAGCCATGAATGATTCACTCTTCAACACTTTTCAAAAGTATGGGTTGGTTTGGAGTTATGCATAGCAATTGAAAACATGTATGCTACCGAAGATGCTGGAAATAAGTCTTTCCTTGTTAACAAGTACATTGACTTCAAAATGTCGGATTCTAAGTCTATTGTTGATCAAGTCAACGAACTTTCTGTTATTGCTAATGAATGTGCTATTGCGGGAGAACCTATTTCTGAAACTTTTCAGATCTCAACCATTATTTGTAAGTTACCTCCTTCGTGGAAGAATTAGCAAAGGTTCTTGAAACATAAGAAGAAAAAGTTGTCTCTTGAAGACTTGATGAAGCACATTCAAATTGAATTTGAAGCAAGGGAAAGAGATGAACTTGCGGATCAAGGAAAAGACACAAGGGTGCATAACATTGAGGGTCCAACATCTACTTTTGTGAAGAATAAGAATAATTCTCAAAGGGACAGAAAAACTCTTCTAAGAAAAAGAGGAAGTTCAAGAGGTTATCACATCCTTAGCCCTGGAAGGAGTTTAATTTCTGAAAAAAAAAAAAACTTGATGATCTTGGTTTCAAAGTTGAGTTTGATTCATGATTATGGTTTCAAAGTTGAATTTGATTCACAAAAAATGATCATTGATAAGTGAGGATCCTTTGTTGAGAAAGGATTTGCTAAAGGCAATGTGTATGTGCTTAATATCAATAAAAGCACACCCATTGTTGTTTAAAATGAATTGGTAAGTCTATCAAAAAAAGGAAGGAGAGTTCTTTGATATCCAGCTGGTACGCAAGTAATTCTTTTATTTGTTTGATATAATACTGCATTTGTGAATTTTTGAATTAGTTGGTGATTGTAGAATAAGAAATTTCGGTCCAATAAGAAATTTTATACAAATTTCTTTTAACAAATTTCTTTTAAGAGTTTTTCCTTAAATTTATTGGATATATCCTATAGAAAATTGGTAGTTAAATATGACAAATGGTTTAACCAATCAGATTTCAATATCTAATGGTTTGACCAATCAAAATTAATCTGTGAGTCATCACCTGGAAATTGCCAAGGAAATTACTTGGAAGCTTCCCTGGAGCATCATCCACAGTTGGATTTTACTTTTCTTGCAAGTAAAGCAGATTAACATTAAATGCACAGGGAATTTCCTCCACTATATAAAGGCAGTCCCCAAAGCCATTTGACACACACAAATTGAAAAGCAGAGAAGCAGCGCTGAAGAGCAAAGTCTCCAGAAGATCCAAGGAGGATTATTGAAAAAAGATCCACGTATATGTAGTATTATTATCAAAGAAGATTGAAAGAAAATCCATGTATGTGGAGAATTATCCAAGGATGATTATCAAAGAAGAAATTTATTTGCGAAAGCTCGTTTTCAAGAAATTATTATTTTGATCTTCATCAACATATTTGAAGAAGATTATTTTTGTTTGTTCAATATCAAG